GACTTGGTCCTTAGTGATATCCATTTACACGTTAAACGTAAAAAAATCTTTTCATGAAATTTTGATAAAATTCATAGATTGTTCTAGTCAAATAGTACTCCATTGATCTAAAAGTTCTTACAAAGAAACATGATATATGATTGGATTTGATTATTTTGGTAAGAGTCTGATTACGCAATCCTACCATCAAAATTTTAATAATCTTGTTCGTGTGTGGCAGTCGTATTGGAAGGTATATTGAATATTTTGATGATTAGCGTTTGGTGAAATCGATTAATCAAAGAAAAATGCATTAAATAATTCTAATAAATTGAAATTGTCGTTTCCTTGTCCATATAAGCTACTGCCTTACGTCCTAAAGCTAGCCCTCGACGTTAAGTTCTTAATTATTTACCCATAATTGAAGTATTCTTTTTTTTTAGTTGACTTATATTTTTCTCACCATATAAAGTATTTTATTCGCTCGAGGATACAATAAAACGTACTGTTGCTAGTAAAACAAAAACGAAGTATATTCTCTGCTCCTTAATATATGTCGATAATATCTTCTTTTCTTATTGTCTCATTTGAACGTATAACTAATTAATCTCGTTTGTTTATTGACAATTGGTACTTTATTCGTTAAAACTCGAACGAAGATACAAGTCCCCGTGATAAAATCTCCATACTATTAATCACGTGAATATATAACACACACGAGTTAACAATAACATTAATTAATAAGAAAAGGCAAATATTTAATAAATATGGATTGTATTATGTATAGTTTTGATTTGTTGGCAGGTGGACCGACGGTACAACCATTACTGCGAGCAAATGCAGATGGTTGTGAACTCTTTCGACATAGTAATGGGCCACGGCGCAGCTTTACCGTACACCGCATTAGCTCAAAAAGCTATGTCGAGGCATTTTCGATGCCTTAAAGACGCGGTCGCAGCTCAGCTTAAGCAGAGCTACGAACTTCTTGGGGACAAAGACGCGGCGGTAATCTCTTCTTCGGGAATAACCAAAGGAGAGACTCCGCGGTTACGTTTGTTAGAACAGAGTTTGCGTCAACAACGCGCGTTTCATCAAATGGGTATGATGGAACAAGAAGCTTGGCGACCACAACGCGGTTTGCCTGAACGCTCCGTTAATATCCTTAGAGCTTGGCTCTTCGAACATTTCCTCCACCCGTAAGTCCAATTTTATCTAAATTTTCTCATAATTTACGTTAGAAAGAAATTGATTTTTTGAAAAAAGCTGAGAAAAAGTCTTTATATTCTCGTTATTTCATGACTACTTTTCTTTAGTTCTGTGTAAGTAGAATTTTGCTATTTTATTGTTAATGAGAGTTATCGAAAAAATGGAAATAAAGCAAAAGAGTAGTGTTTTTGTACTATTTTTCACCTCTCTGTCAATTGCTTTATGAGTAAAAACAAAACCCCAAAAAAAAAACTAAGTTAAAGAAGGAAAAAAAGACTAGATCTATGCAATGTAATCATCAGCTTTTCTTTTGTCTCTTAGATTCTCACGCCCTTGTTAGGAAAAAGGAGGAGAAAGTGTGTACTTTTTCATGCATATACTTGATTGTATTGTATATAGAGAAAATATAAAGAAAAGGAATTATATTGTGTTTAGGGCAAAGATAGAGTGATGTCATTTTCTGGTCTCTTTCTCAGGTATCCAAGCGATGCTGATAAGCACCTCTTGGCTCGACAGACTGGTTTATCCAGAAGTCAGGTCAGTCTAC